AGTTATGATTTGAGGTTTCGTGTGGGAGTGGGATAACTGGTTGATTGGGAAATGCTAAGTCACTCACACTGGGATTAAATAATATCAGAGTATTGATTTGACCCTATTGCACAACTCTTGTCTAAGTCTAACCGTTGCAGGATGAATCTTCTACTTGAAGGATTATTTGAGCCTTATGTCAAGTATAAGTGTTATCTAGTTGTATATGGTCAGCGACTTTGTTCCCTTTGAAGTAACAGGGTGATCGGGGGTTGGAAGCATTTTGTTTGATATGAAACTCTATGAGGCGAGCATGGTAGTGTGTCAATGTGTGAGGTCTGTCAGGGAGTCAGACCGTTTGAGACTTCAGGTTCCAAGTTTCAGGTGAGGTGGTATTGGTTTTACGCAAAGGGTTAAGGGTATGTTCATCATCAGGTTTGAAAAGCTATGCCAAGGATGGTCTCAACAGTTTTCGAAAGGTTGTTGTATGTTTAGGGTTGTGGTTGTGTTATCCGGGCTATCGAGCATGCCTGGGAATGGTAAAAAATGATGTCGGGGACGAAATCTAATTTAAGTAGGGGAGAATTGTAACGCTTGATATCTGGTATAAATTTGATTACAAGTTGTTTAGGTTTTCTCCTTGGGACTCAACAAGTTGGAGCCTCAACTCGGAATGTTGAGATGTTATTCGTTGTGTAATTTAATGAACCAGCTCAACATGTTAAGGTGCCTCAACATGGCGAGTTGGCAGATGGGTTGGAAACCCTAATTTTTAGGGTGTTGCACCCTATTTAATGGCCTTAAGTCCCTTTGGATGGCCTCCTTCTCAGCCTTCATTGTTATCAAAACCCTAAAATGAGTCATAGCCTCCATTATCAAGCATTTGAGCTTTGGAAGGAAGTTTGGTGCTCATTTTGTGTATTGTGAAGGAATTAGAAGATTTTGAAGTTGCTAAGCTTGAAGAAGGAAGTCTTGGATCCAGAATCGCTACCCATTTTGTAAGGAGTTTGAGGTATCAAGTTCTTATCTTGATGACTAGATGTTTAGATCTCTCTTTTGGGTTAAACTGTTATGTTTTAGTCATAGGCTGGATGAATGTTGGGATTAGGATGTACCAAAGCCTTATTCTTTCAAATATGGGGTTTTCATGGACTCTTTTGGCATAAAGGTGCCAACTTTATGGATTTAAGGGCTTCATGCATTCATTAAGTCCCTTATTAAGCCCTTCTTGAACATTTGAGCCTCTCCTAGTCATGCATGAGCGTAAAGTTGGAAACTTTACGTGGTCTTCCAGCTCTCGGGTGTTAGATTTGCAATTTGGGGCTTTGTATTTGAATATTAAGTGCTTACTGTTAATCCCTCACTCGTTTAAGTCAAAGGTTTGGGCTTGGACCCATTTTGGTGGTTCCTCGGGGTAAAGTTGGAAAGTATACCCTTCTAGATCCCATTTTGGTCGGGGTATGAGTTGTGAAGTTCTTAGACTCGATAATGTCAGCTTAATGTATTAAGATGTTGGGTTTCTAGCGAACTCGGCATATTTATGGATAAACTCGGCGAGTAGGCCCGGTTTTTCCCCGAATTTACAGATAATGGAGAAACACAACGAGTTGAAGGACAACTCGGCGTGTTGGGTCAACTCCAGCCGTTGACCTTGACTTTTGACCCTATCTTTGACCAAGTTGTTCTAAAGGGGTAGTTGAGGTAATCAGAATTGTAATTAAGGAAATTATGGGCTTAGGATAAGGCCCATATGGGGTTGGGCCCAATTTGGAAAATTGGACCATTAGTAGGCCTTTGTGGATCTTTTGGTTTTGGGCCTCGGTTTTGATGCATGTTGGGTCAGGGGTAAAATGGTCATTTTACCCCAAGTATGGAGGGTAGACCTTAGAATGGAACCCAGTTGCTAATTGGGTGTTATTTTGATCTGATAGCTCGGAGGTGTCGTCAGGGAAGCAGCTAGGGATTTCTTTCTGTGAGCTTCTGCATTCGATGTGAGTCTCCTCATATGTGTTATGGGTCAAATGCACCAATGCCGACCCAGTTGGTTTATGTATAGTAGGATGACCCAGAGGTGACTCTTGGCACTTTTATGCTAGTTATGTAGTGTAGATTGTATGCTAATTGTCTTTGTGATGCTTGCATGGAAGACCCGGAGGTCGCTCCTCGCACTTGTCTATAAGACCCAAGGTTTTGGCTCCCGGCCTAGCAAGGAATACGACGAGGCGGCTCGTGGCATAATGGCAATACTATGGTTGGCACATAGCAGTTTTATTTATTGATTGGATATGTATGGCTCATTGGATATACATGGTATGTGGTATTTGGGGAACTCACAAAGCTTTGTTCTTACAATTTTTGGTGTATGGTTTTAGGTGCTTCCGATTAGAAACAGAAGGGTCCGGCTTGATCGCAACGCATACACCTGTGTTTTCTGCAATATGTGATCTTTGGGAATGAACTTTGATAATTGTCTTATTTTGAAATGATTTTAAATGTTTGGATAAAGTTACAATGGTGTTTTGATTGTAATAAAAAGGAAATTTTGCCCTTGCTTTTCAGGATGTTACAAGTTGGTATCAAAGCTTTGGTTTGACGGACTCGGGCATACTGTCAGGTGTCTCTAAACTCAAACTGAGGGTTTGGCGAAAATTTTTTAAAATAAACATTTAGTTAAAAAGGAATTAATAATCAAAGAAAGGGGTGTGATGTGTGCAATCAGCCGAGCTCAAGTAAGTGATTCCCAAAATACCAATACATGTTTAAAATGTTATATACGATATGATTGTGAGAATTGCATGCTAGAATAGGGCTAAGGATCTTCTCGGTATTATATGATAAGAGATGCCTTTATATGTTGATTGTGTGAGCTTTAGAATTGCAGGCTAGTATGGATTCTAGATTAGAGGATAGAATGGCCTGATTAGTGTATGTTGCTTAGATTTTCTGTTGCCTGAATGTTGTTTGCTTTGTGCTTTGTGGGACTCTTAGTAATGTTAATTGACTGCTAAGTGATTATGCTAAGTCACATGTGACACAGGTTAAATAATCTCAGAGTGATGGATTTAACCCTATTACGATGCTCTTGTCTAAGTCCAACCGTTCTAGGACTGAGTCTTTTACTCGAAGGATTATTCTATCTCTGTTGCATGTAACTATAATCATGAGGAAGTTAGTTGATATTGGTGGGAGTCCTTCAGCAGCTAAGGGTTGGGTGGGGTCAAGAACCTAGGAGAGACTAGGATATGCTTCAGTAGGTTCGTGGTGTGGTTTGGTGAGTTTTCGGTGCATCAATTAGAGGATGTGACTTAGAGGATTCAGGATGATTAATGAGGAAAGTATGGATAAGTGTGGAAGGTAGTATTGGGCCCGTACTACTGAAAGCACAAGACCCATACTCAAATTGGTGAGAGTCGTGGAGAATCTAAGAAGCTTATGGGAGGTGGATTTTTGGGAATGTATTGATTGTTGGCTTATTGTGTTTCAGTTTGGAAACTTTACCCTTATAAATCTCATTTTGGTCGAAGTCTAAGTTGTGAAGTTCTTAGAGTCGATAATGTCAGCTTAATGTATTAAGATGTTGGGTTTATGGCATACTCGGCGTGTTTATGGATAAACTCAGCGAGTTGGATCGGTTTTCCCCTGACTTTGTAGATAAAGCAGAAACACGGCGAGTTGAAGGACTACTTGGCGTGTTGGGTCAACTTGGGTCGTTGACCTTGACTTTTGACCTTATCTTTGACCAAGTTATTCTAAGGGGGTACTTGAGGTAATTAGAATTGTAATTAAGGAAATTATGGGCTTAGGATAAGGCACATATTGGGTTGGCCCTAATTTGGAAAACTGAGTCATTAGTGGGCCTTTGTGGATCTTTTGGTTTTGGGCCTCAGTTTTGATGCATGTTGGGTTGAGGGTAAAATGGTCATTTTACCCCAAGTATGGATGGTGGACCTTAGAATGGTACCCAATTGCTAATTAGGTGTTATTTTGATCAGATAGCTCGGAGGTGTCGGTCGGGCAGCAGCTAGGGATTTCTTTATTTGAGCTTCTGCATTCGAGGTGAGTCTCCTCATTGTGTTATGGGTAAAAGGCACCAATACCATCCTAGTTTGTTTATGTATTGTAGGAAGACCTAGATGTGGCTCCTGTCACTTATATGCTACTTATGTAGTGTAGATTGTATGCTAGTTTTTTTTGTGATGCTTGCATGGAAGACCCGAAGGTGGCTCCTGGAACTTGTTTATAAGACCCAGGGTTTTGGCCCCCGGCCTGGCAAGGAAGTCCACGAGGCGGCTCGTGGCATAATGGCAAGACTATTGTTGGCATGTAGCACTTTATTGATTGATTAGATATGTATGGCTCATTCAATATGTATGGTATGTGGTATTTGGGGAATTCACTAAGCTTTGTGCTTACTGTTTGTGGTTTATGGTTTCAGGTAATTCCGGTTCGAAAGGGAAGGGCCCGACTTGATCGCAACGCATACATCCGTGTTTTCTGTAATATGTGATCTTTGGGAATAAACTCTGATAATTGTCTTATTTTGAAATGCTTTTAAATGTTTGGATAAAGTTACAATGGTGTTTTGATTATAATAAAAATAAAATTTTTACTCTTGATTTTTGGGATGTTACAAACTGAAAACCCGAAATCCTCCAAACTCAACGCATTCACTATAACATCAATGACATCAGAAAAGGAAGACATGAAAGTGAACTAGAAGAAGATCATCTGGTGACGTGAACGTCAACCTCACCAGAGGACTAGAATTCCAAATGTGATGGATACGACGGACATTCGAATGAGGATAGTAAAAAATCAAACATTAAAAATGGGAGAGTATGAACAAAAGTGCAAACGAATGTAGGATACATACCTGAAGAAGAAAGGGAACGCAGAAAGAAAGGCGTGCGAGAGACGAAGGGAAAGTCAAGAGAATGACAGTGACATACAACAAAGAAAGAAAATCAGGTCCAAATCAACCGTTGACCACCCAATGTAGAAAATTTGCGATTCGATCCCTTTCACCAGCCTAGGCTCACACAACCGGCACCTAAAACAACCATTCTTCGCAAATCAAACAGAAAAAAAACTCTTCGGTTGTTGGTTTTCTTGGTGAGGCGAACTCCAACAGGAGGCGTTGGAAGAGCACCATTAAAATGTATTGAATAGTAGTTGAAGGTGGGAGATGGAGAATTTTTGGAAGTTGGATGAAGCGGTGACTTATCTGGGGTAGCGAAAGCCAGTAAAGGCACACGCTTATCAACGAGGGACTAAAGTGTAAAATTTAGAAAGTGTTGTTGCCAAAACAAAAAGTGAAAGTATTACAAACTTTTATAGTGAAATTCCAAACCACAAAAAAAACATTGTTCCTAAGGCTAAAGTTTAATCCTAGTGGATTGAAATTTAAACAACATTTATTATGTCATCATATATATATATATATATATATATATATATATATATATATATATATATATATATATATATATATATATATATATATATATATATATATATATATATATATATATATATATACTTGTATTGAATAGTAAAAGAAACTGTTGAGTAGATTCTTATGACGTTTGGATAGACAAGGGTAACCACGTTCATTTGTTAAAAAAGACTAAAGATCATTAAAGAAAATATTAATTTAAAATAATTACATTTAAAAAATAAAAATACAATTTGATTATATATGTTTGTACATCAGTATGAAGAATATCTTGGGGAAAAAACTTACTTGGACACAACAATTAATTGGCAGTGAGCAACTGATGCCTCCACCAGATCAGCCGCTAGTTCTGCAAAACCTATTTCTGCATGATACAACAACACATATGGATATGAATCATGAAGCCAAGCCAAGCCAAACCTTCTCTGGATTCTTAAACTTTGCTAATTGTTGACCACAGCTAACAGCTAACACATATCGTGAAATGACTTATTTACCCCTTACAAGCAGCTAAAACCAAGGCCATCACCTATTGTTAAAATGAAGTTCTAACTACAGAATATGTTAAAAAACTCATAACAATCCTATACTCCCTTTTCATTTAAGGCTTGACTTGTAGTCAAACATCAATGAAGTTTCATTGTATAAGACAAGTTCTTAATACTAATTAACTAGTTTTACATCCTTAATTAAGTATTATCTTTTAATATCTCGGAAAATGGAGGTAATATAGGAGGGTCTCGATTCTACAACCAAAGAATAATTATAAGATCAAATTTTGAACATTTGAAAAGTAATATAAATAAGAAATACATAAGATGACTTTCTTTTAGTATTAAGCAATATAAAAGCAAACCTATAGCAGAAAAGCAAACAATAATATTATGGATAAAGAGGTAAGAGTTCGATCTTTTAAACTGTTAATATCAAGTGCTTTTTGCCCATGCTTTCATCTACATAGATAGATTTTATCAGTAGTAGTCAAATTTTATCCTTAATACATATTAATAAGCTACAATTTCAATGTATTAAAACCTTCTATTTACTAGGATAATTTAATCCATGTAGCAGATTAAATAAGCTTACCAAGAAACTTAGCTTTTGGAATATGTCATCTATTGAAGTAATTAAGCGAATTATAGCTGACTTTGAAATTCCATCTCTATTTTCAACTGAAAGGTCACATTCAACACCACTTCCAACATCAATAACCTTAAGGATAGGCAACTTAGCAGACAGAACAGATTGAACACCTCGTACATGACCTCCAATTAAAGGGCAAAATGGTCATCAAACAAAATCAGACATATACCTTGAAATTGTAGCTAAAACTCATAACTAGACCTTTCACAACATGAAATTCTAAGCATCTAAAAGCTAAAGTCTCGATTGCTACCACAAATATGTTAAAATGGTGAGGTCAGGTTTCAACTTTCAATCCATGTTCAATTCAACTTCACTAAAACTTGTTGTTAGATTAGACAAATTATAAAACAAGATCAAAAGAAATATAGAACCAATTGTTTCATATGTTAGGATCATTAAAATAAGCTTCCTTCACCCTAATTAAGCCAAGTTCACAATTAAAAGTGCATATATATATCGTACATATAGGGAAAGAAACTCACGATCACGAGTAATTTGTCTGAAGGTGGGCAAAAAGCACTTGATATTAACACTTTTAATTGTGCATATAGGGAAAGAAACTCACGATCACGAGTAACGTGCATATATATCGTACATATATGTCCTTGAGACGATGTATTAGAATCCAATATCGACATATTTCGTTCAAGAAGCTAATTACTACAAAAATCATTACATGAATCAATTGATGAAAAACCTCAAAGTTCAACAAGAAACACATATCACAACAATCAGTTCTCTGGTGGTTTGAAGATGGGGGAGAGAGAAAGAAAGAGAGAGAGAGAGAGAGAGAGAGAGAGAGAGAGAGAGAGGTACTTGAAATGTAAATTAAAGAGGTGTAAGAGTGAATATGATTTGAATTGGTGGTAACCCTCCAGAGTGCATATTGCACCATTCAGAGCTCTCTCTTGCATCACAGACAATATTCTACGACCAATTTCATCTCCGCATCTAGTCGTTCCTTTTCATATGGACGACGAGGCTTCTTGAAAGTTTTTCCATATGAAAGTGGTGGTGATGGAAGAGATGGTACGACGGCGGTGGATGGTAGGAATGGTGGTGATGGTCGATTGTGTAGAGGTGAGGTGGAATGAGATTTTATGAAAAAAAAACCCTAGATTTGGATGCCTTTTGTAATTGAGAATAATCGATGCGCGTTTGGTAACATAATTATAAAATGACGCCTCTACAATCGAGAAGGTGGAGGATAGAGATGAGAGAAAACCTGGTGGAGAAGAAGAGACAAGAAGGTGGAGGTGTCGATTAGGGGTTGTTTAACTGGTAGCTTCGACTGACGGTTGATGAGTCGTAGTTGTCGATCGGCGCTACAATCGACATTCACAGAGGCGTGGAGACAAGGGAGAAGGAGGGGTTGAAAATTTTTGGGGATTTCATTTTCCCTTTCAGGAGCGCGTTTCTTAACATATAAAATGACATTCACAGAGGACACACATGTGCCCTCCGTGTTTTTAATTTTTTTTACATGAGACACTAATTTAAGGGCACGCAATAATGCGTGTCCTCTATCCTTAAATTTTTTGAAGATATGACACTTTTTTAATGTCATTCTCTTTTGTGTAACATAAATCAACGAGATGACACTTTCTTGAGTAATCAAACCACTTTTTTGGTTGTTTTATAAAAAATAACATTTTTTTGGCAAAATGACCACTTGGTCCAGAATAGGTTGTTCCGGATCCGATTTCAAATTTGGTTAAACGGGTACCAGGATGGTACGTTGGGCGTAAGGGGGTGGTGAAGCTTGGATCTGGAAGTCTTGCATCATCCTCAACCTCCAGAAGGTATAAAGTTCATACATTGTTGATTAAGTTGATAGATCTTGATTTTATGTTATATTATGAACTTTTGTCCCCAAATATGGCTTTCTTATTTATGGCATGCCATAAAGCAAATAGGCTGTCATTTTGGATGTTTTTTTAGGCTTAGAGTGATAAAAATGTGTTCTTGACCCTTAGTTCTTCCCCATGCAAGACTTTGGTTGTCTTAATGGCTTAAAATGTTAGGGTTTTTAGTGTTAAGCACATTAGACCTATGCAAGACCGTAAAGTTGGAAACTTTATGGTCAAGGACAACATTTAGGACTTGGATCTATATTTTGGACGAAAAAGGCTTATGCATTAAGCACTTAATGGTTTAAGAACATTCAATTGCATACTATGGGCGTACCAGATGGTACGTCGCACGTATGCGGTTAGACCCCAATCGGTTTTGGTCGCATCCGAGAACTCCCCGCATAGGTTCGAAATACGCCCCGCGTACTAGACTTAGTCGACTCATCTGGGTTAACTCGGATGATTTATTGAGTTTGACGAACATTGACCTAAGGGTATTTTGGATAATTTATTATTAATTAAGGTTAGGCTATGATTTGCATAATATGTGGCAAGTAGAGTCGGTATTCAGGTTCGATACTTATTTCAGTTTGTGTTTGGTTTGATAGGTGAGTTTTCTCACTATGACTGGTCCATTTATTATGTTTATGTATCCTAGGATGTAGGATTTCTATGATAGTTATATGTGTGATTTGTTGTATATATGTCAACATCCAGATAGTTAGGCTGAGGTCGCTTGCCAAAAAACCCGGTATGGTTGGGTTGAGACTGGAAATCAACATACCCAATATGGTGAGGTTGAGGCCACGTGCCAATAGACCTGGATGGTTTGATTGAGGCCATGTGCCAACAAACCCTCAAAAGTTGGGTTGAAGTGTTACTGCTCTGTGTTGTAAACCAACAAACCTGATGTGGTTGGGTTGAGGTCAAGGGCCAATAAATCATGTATGCATGTGTGTTATATTTGTAATTGTTTGTATTATGGGGTATTTTGGGAAGCTCACTAAGCTTTGGCTTATAGTTTTGATTTCAATATTTCAGGTACTTATGATGAGTGGGGAAAGAAGAAGACGTGATTATACACATCATCTCATAGTTGATGTTGATTGAAACCTTGATTCAATGTTTTGACTTATTATAAATTGTAAATAATGTTTTGGTAACTTTTGGGATTGTGGATTCTGTTTTTAAAATGAAAAATTTTACTATGATTTTTGGGACGTTACACCACAATGAGTTTTGCAGCCTTCTACGCAAGAGCATGCTGCTAGGTGGTGGATTGAGAGTATCCAGTGGATAGATGTTGCATATTACGCTAATGTTTGAGTTATGATTTTCTTTGTTAATGTTTCAAAACAATTGTCTTTTAAAGGTGTAGAAAAAACAAGTTTATTGTAACATCCCAAAATTTAAGGCCAAAAATTTCGTTTTCAAATAGATTATAACATAAAAACCATCGATATAAAAACGTTCATAATGATATCTCATGTCACAATCAATATATCAATAATCCAAAACATGTCACTATAAAAACCATTTTGTCCAAACGTAAAATAATTCAGAGTAGACTCCCAGGAAACTCCATGCGGAAAACATGTGTGTGTGATGCGCTGCTACACCGCCAACTCCTTCCCTTTAGACGAAGAGGTACCTGAAACCAAAACTGAAACTGTAAGCACGAAGCTTAGTGAGTTCCCCCACCATACCCACAACACATAGTCATCGGTATCTTTTAACCGGTAACCGGGAGCTACCCTCCCCATCAGTATCTTTCAACCGGTAGTCAGGAACTATCCTCCCTTCGGTATCTTTCAATCGGTAACCGGGAGCTACTCTCCCATTCGGTATCTTTCAACTGGTATCCGGGAACTAACCTCCCCTTCGGTATCTTTCGACTAGTATCTGGGGACTATTTCACCCCTACCCCTATTACATATTACATGTCATAACATATTGGTTTCATGAGAACATACATAGGCATACTCAGTCACATAATGGCATATCATAAGCATACAACTATACATGTGTGGGTTTTTGTCCACCCCTTTGGTATCTTTCAACCGGTAATCGTCTTAGGTATCTTTCAACTGGTAACCAGGGGCTAGCACACCCTACTACTACTAACACATACTCAACAAAATATAGCAACCAGAAAATTATCACAAAGATAACCATCTCACCCATAATCTCCTAGTGGTGGTCCGGCATTGGTGTTGTAGACCCACCCCTACTGGAAGGTAACTCACCTTGTAAGGCTGACTGCTGAAAAGTTGATCGACAAATGTTCAACTGCTGCTCCGGTGATCCTCCAGCTATAATTCCCATAAAACACTTAGTCAGACATGGATAATTGTTCTTAGGGTAAAATGACTATTTTACCAATGACTAAGTCAAAGTCAAAGTCAAAGTCAACTTCCAGTTGACCTGACTCGCCGAGTTGGGCCTCCAATTCATCGAGTCCCTACCCTTCATATGCCCTTCCTCACGCTTCTACATGTCGAGTTTATCAATAACTCGACGAGTTCTCCTTCTAAAACAACCTCAAATGAACCTTCATCCGACTCATTGAGTTATATGAACAACTCGTCGAGTTCATCCTCGCCCTACAAACAAGTCTTGTCCTTAACTCACCTAGTTGTATGAACAAATCGTCGAGTTCATCTTCAAAAGTTAGGAGATTGCCTTGGACTCACCGAGTCTGCTCATGCACTCATCGAGTCCTATGAACTCCAGGTTTATGGCTAAGTCCAATACGTTGGGTTACTCCCTTGGACCCTCTAAAACCCTTCTAACACTCAACTGGGTTCCTTTGAACCCTAACAGAAAAGGGAAGTCAAGCCTCAGACTCGTCGAGTCCCAAGAACAACTCGCCGATTCGAGGTTGTTCAAGTCTTATTTCTCGATTTCTGATGTACAACACTTGTCCAAAAGATAGATCTAGGCTCCTAAGATCGATCTAGCATGCAAAGTTAGAAACTTTACGTGCATACATGGGAGAATAAGCTTAAAAGGCTCTAAAAGAAACTCTTAAAATGCATGGGGGCTTTCTAAGGCCCTAAAGTCAGCCACGTTATGTCTTGTAGTCCCCTAAGGACCTTGTATCTGGAGTCTTAGCCTCAACCATGCTTGCACTCATAGTTGGTCACCAAAAGTGGCTCCTTAAAGCCCTAATTCACTCCAAAAAGGGATCTAGAACATGAATGAGCAAGGTATAAACTTTATACCTCCAAAGAACTGTAGATGCAGCACAAACTCATGATCTTCTGATTTCCTCTTGCATCTTCAAGCTTTTCCTTCTTCTTGTGATCACAAACCACCAAAATCCACCAAAGAGGCCTTAGATCTTCACCAAAGACGATTAGGGTTTAATGTGAGGTGTTCTGAGAGCATAGGGGACGAGGGAGGCTAAATAAGATGTTTAAATAGTGTGAAAACCCTTGGATTAGGGTTGTGTCCATACAGGGTCTACTCGTCGAGTCTTGCTGCCGACTCGACGAGTCCACCACTTATCCCCCGGGTCCAAGTCGCTTCTACTCGACGAGTTGGGCCTTCAACTCGCCGAGTCCATTCCAAAATGTGAAGAATACTTGAATGAGATAATACCAGGAACCGGGTGCTACATTTATCATTCCGACCAACATTTTCTAGAATATTATGATAGCGTACAAAAATCACTACAAGTTATTTAAATCAACAGTATCATACTATAGGCTACCTTTTTTACTACAGTGTTTAGTGTTAGACTAAACATTATTTTTTTCACCTAACTTGGTCCTACTAGAAGATTCACTTTTTGTTGACTCTATGGGAAACAGAGTGTCAATGTTTCTGCTTGTGTAATCGATCCTTTGGAAATGGCTACATTTTTTTCTAAATCGAACCTTCACCTTGGGATGGGATACAATTGTGGTTTTTAGGTCGTCCAGGTTGTTGTTTGTCCATCAATGTTGGAAAACAACCATGACCTCATCTTTTTCGTATTCGGCTAGAACTGGCACACGAAACACAACCTCAGCATATGTTGAATGATATGTTTCCATTGTGAAGTACGATGACACTCGTGCATTGCGGTGTTAATATCTTAGTTCGTTGAATACCACCATAGCATGAGTACAAGGTATACCCGACAATTTCCATCTCCCACACATGCAGTAACGAATTTCCAAGTTTAGTATACCATTTTTCATGTGGTCAATCACCTCATATCTGCTTTGATCAATCTAGTATACCCGAAAAGTATAGTATTTGTTGATCCTCCTATCAATGACCTTCTCAGCATACTTAATAACATCTTTTTTGCTTTCAACTATAACAAACATTTACGTATACATTGTCATGCACAGGAAGTTACATTACAATTATCATTGAACTATTATAATATAGGGAAACACTTACCTCCAACATTATGTCGCTAGCACCACCATTATTGCATAGTTGCTCGAAATAAAATTGATCAGAATTGTTATCGGTAGTTTCCTTGTGTCTCTTGATAATGCATTGACGGACAAAAAATTGTTTGATGTCATAATATTGTACCAAACCATAGGGAAACACGACCATGCCCATCTCTTGTTACCGATTCTTTCTATCCATGTCTGAAAATCATCGTTTAGTGCACGACATAGCCTACTCAAGTTTTCTTTGAAATCAGACTCTTGGTATGCCTTAGCAACCTCCCAAAACAAAATCTCTATTCTCTTTTGCTTGCTGATCT